AGAAACATGCTGTGTATCTGATGCTTAGGATGAGCACTGTGGTTTTGGAGAAAGGAATGCTGGCTCATAATGTTTGAAGAATGTTTAATGGTTTTAATAATGAACATCATTTAAATCTGTCCAGGGAGAAGCTGTGCTACTTTAGATTGACTAGTTATGACTGGGATACCAAGGTTAGCAACACACAGTCCGTCCATCCATACAATTATGAGTTTGTTTGAAAATGAATAGCTTCACCTATTCATATGATTCCCACCCCACTCTAGAGTGTTCCAACCTGTAAAATGGAGACCAAAAACGTTTAACTAATCTCTAGTTGTTAGAACAGAGACTAGTTTAAACATTTAGTCTAAAGACCAGACATTAACTGGCAAAGAGACTGAGCAGGAAATCTAAATTGTCTTCTACCAGCTGAAAGTTTCAGTTTGAAAATGATCTGAGAAGACTGGGAAGGAGACGAGTCAATAAAGTGCATTGACTGTGAGAAAGACTTTGATGACAAACAATTAAATAAAAGTGAAACCAATATTTCGAAATGCACAGTAGGATATGGTGAATTGACACCAAATATTTCCGCCTATGCATAAATACCTATAAAATGACAATTTACATTTCTATCAATACTGGTATATACGCTATATTTTCAACATTCAAGTTTATTTAAGTTAATTTACCAATCATATTTTACTTTTCTCTCTGATACAGAATGACAGTTTTGAACAATTTTACATTGTCTGGTTCTTCAGGCCCCACACCAGCTACACACTTCACAAATGTTCCTCCTGAATGAGGTTTCAGCTTCTTAGCCACTCGCTCAGTTACAACAAAATATTCCTGCGTAACATTGTCTCTGTCAAAATGTGATCTTGTGGAAGCTGCTTATTAGACAAACTCAGCCGATGAGCATTAAGTTTATCCAARGCCTGTAATGTAMAATTAATCCTTGGTCTGTTTCATGTCTCTCCAATATCAACAGAGTCACAGCTACTACTCCTCTTCCWCTTCGGCCGCTCTCCGTCCACTGATCCTTCATGGTACTCGTCTGTCTGGCCGGCATCAGTCCTGTGGTGTTGAGACGGTGTTTCTGGGAAGCTCTGTCCGGGCCCCAACATCTGTCTGACGGTCACATTCACTTTGGAGCTCTGGATGTACCTGGAACACACTGCCCAGTCCTGGAGGATCTGTAGTAGTTGAGGATTCCAGCCTCTGCATTAAATCATGGAAACCCACAGGCGGCTGTTATTTGGAAGGACAGCCGGTGCAGCACAGCTGGGAAAGGAGTGTAGTGGTTGGCAGAGTAAGTCTGTGGATGGAATAATAAAATAGACACTTGGTCTATTACACAAGCAAAGCGATGTGAAGAGATATGTTGCGTCACACACACACACACACACCATCCTGTTAACTGTTAAGTCTGTAAGTAAGTGGCTAATTTAAATATTAGGTACTGCCAAACTTGACATCTATTGGTGAATATGAATATTGTAACCGACTGAATACCTCATGCTTCAGCCTCTCACTTCACCCTCCTATAGTGGCCTTCAGGTAACATAAAACATGAAAAGGTAATAATAAGTTTTATATTCCATTACTGTAGACAGATTCCCCCACCTCCTAAACACTAGACCTTTAAGTTTAGACTGTGTGCCAATGCCAAATACTTAAGGTCTGACCAGGACATTATTCTACCCACTTATAAAACACATCTCTAGGACAGCTTTCTTCCACATGCGCAATATTGCAAACATTAGAAACATCCTGTCTGTCACAGCTGTTTCCATGGTGTTTCTGTGTCCCTGCTCCTTTCCTCCTCCTGTGTGTGTGTGTGTGTGTGTGTGTGTGTGTGTGTGTGTGTGGGGGGGTCTCTACTCCTGGCACCTGGCTGCAATCATCCTCAACACCAGCATTACAAGAACCCTGGTCTCTCCGCTGCTCATCTGCAGATTGTTACAGTCCCTCCTGTGGTACACACTCTGGGCCGGACTCAAAGTGTTCTTTAGAAGAAGAACCTCCTCGCTTGTTTTTACATGCAACTAACCTTGTTATCTGTGCCTCAGGATTGCCAGAGCTCAACCTGCCTGCCCTCGCTCCTTCTCACTTTCGGACTGCTTCTACCAATCCCTCTACTTCTAGTTCTGGGTACTGCTAACCTGCTACCACTCCCTGAGTGGTTGTTCCTGTGTGCGTGATTGCCTGTAGGTGCACTGGAGTCAGAGCAGAGCCTCATCAGCTGCACCTTATCTGTCATCAAGCATCTTCATATACTCCTTCCACGCTGCCAGATCATAGTCTCTGCTACCAGTTAGTTTTCACTTCAAGCCATTCATTGTGTTTGCTATTTAGAATTTAGCCCTTGTTGTCTGATCTCATACTGTTCTCCATCCTATCCTCCTGCTCTGGCTCCGGTCCCTGCTCTTTGTCCCCTCACCTGGCTAGAAATCTGCTATCCTGGAACCCAGCCTTACACCCCTCACCTTGGATAACCTTCTGGACCTGTCACCATTACCCCCATCGCTCCAGCCTCAGCCTAAAGCTCCAGGCTCCCCACTACCAACCCCAGCTCTCCCTAAACTGCATCCTGGCAGTAAATACCTTTCACTTACTCCTGTCTCCATGTCTGTGTCTGTGCCTGTGTTCACCTGTCCAACAGTTCCACTTAACAGCAGGTTCATTATTGCAAATACCTGCACTGTTCCTTAGTGATTTTATGCTCTGGTTACTAACTGAACATCACATGTACCATTTTGTGGAATGACCCCAAAACAACTGGCAATATTATCCAGTTGCCATCAAGGATGCATGTATAGTTTTACCATAATATAAATATGGCAACCATTATTTAAAAGGTGGATGAACTTTGTCAGGTTTGCCATCAGCAATGTCAACATCTGTTAGCATTCCTCCACAAATCAACACTTGACTTTATTGCAACACAATAGCAGAATATTCCAAAAGTGTCCAAATGTATATACAGCCAATGCACCAAACTGCAAAGGAAAGTGACCAATGAATCAATGAATCAAATGTCATATGTATAGCCCATATTCACAGATCTGAATTATTTCTCATAGGGCTTAACAAGGTGTGACAAACCCTGCTGTCCTTAACCCTCAGCCTAAGGACAACTACCAAAAAACTACATTAACGAACTAAATAAACAGGTGAACAAAATGTAGATACTTTAGAGAGAGCCACATGTGACGAATCCCTCTCCCAAGATGGACAGGAGTGCAATAGATGCTATGTGTAACTGAGAACATCAGCAAAATAAGAGTTTTTACAACATGATTAGAAGAAACAGTTTGTAACATAATGGAAAGGTGTGTCAAAGTATGTTTACAAAGTAATC